AAACAAAGGAGGAGGCTGCAATTCTTGGTAAGAAATGTACGCATTATCCCGCCCATGTAATTGTAACCCCTCTGTACAGTATGTTCACAAATAAAATAAAATTAAAAAAAAAAAGAATACTTCTGTCAGCCCCAAAGAGCCCATGTGTCCACTGTGTCCACTGTGTCCATGTGTCCACACCCACCATTCCGTTCCCTATCTATAGATTCCTGCAGTGGCCTTTTAACTAAACTGTTAAGGAAGGGCACTTTTCAATCTGGCTATATTGTACCTAGAGGATTATTTTCTTTAGTATTTTTAATGGCATTTGCACCAACATTGCTAACTCACTGCTAACTGTTGATGGCATCAGAAAAGTACATTGGTTCTGGCAAGTTTGTTCTTTTTTTAGGGGGGAGGTTGTTTTAGATAGATAGATAGATAGATAGATAGATAGATAGATAGATAGATAGACAGACAGATAGATATACACACATTTATATTTATTTAAGTAGTTGTTTAAAGGAGGTGCCATTTAACAAAGTAGTATATGGTTACAATGCATTTCAATCTGTGTTGCTCCTTCAACAATTTCATCCTCCTTTGACCCATCCCATCCAGTATACTTCTCAATTTTCTGGTATATACAATGAATTCTTGATTGCATTCTCTCCTGCTTTCATTGTAAACCCGGCTCCCCTTACCTCCTCCCTCCTTGCAAGTTCCTATTTCTTATGCTTATTTTGTTGGGCTTTTCCTTAGTCTTTCAAAAAAAAAATCATACTACGTAAGCTCTCCAAAGTATCTATTATAATTCAGTCAATTCATTTGTAACCACTTGAATACCACCCATCATATTTACTTACAGATTTATAGGCACATTCTATCTACCACTATTGAGAGAAACCTTTCAACTTTTGTCTCTCTGAGCCTGGCTTACTTCACTTAATACAATTCTTTCCAAGTCTTTCAGATGGCACAAAATCATTTCTAAAATTCCATTGTGTGTGTGTGTGTGTGTGTGTGTGTGTGTGTGTATCACATTTTCTTGGTGGGAATGTAAGCTTGTTCAACCATTCTGGAAAGCAATGTAGAGGTTTCTCAAAAAAACTAAACATACCCGGGTAATCCTGGCTACTCAGAAGGCTAAGATCTGAGGATTGCGGTTCACAGCCAGCCTGGGCAGGAAAATTTGTGAGACTCTTTTCTCCATTTAACCACCAGAAAACTGAAAGTGGAGCTGTGGCTCAAAGTGGTAGAGTGCTAGCCTTGAAAAAAGGAGCTCAGAGACAGCACCCAGGACTGGAGTTCAAGCCCCACAAACAAACAAACAAAAAAAAGCCTAAATATAGAACTACCTTATGATATAGCAGTTTGAACTCCTGGGCATTTATCCAATAGAACACAAACAAGGCTATAGTAAAACCACCAGCACAACCATGTTCATTGCAGCACTATTACTGTAGCTAAGATATGGAATCATCCCAATTGCCCCTCAGCATATAAATGGATTCAGTTTAGATTGTTTGTGTTCTGAGTTAACTGTACTGTGGTTCTAAGGAACATTAGCTGGAACTGACTCTTACTGTACACAGGATAGAAGTCACATAAGGTATTCTTTCCAGAAAAAAGGACCTCAGAGCTCTGATGCCATTCTTCTGTCTACATCTATAGGTACAGCTCAAAGAAGCCATCGAAGATCTTCCTGGTAAAATGGATACTGAATTGGCAGAGTCAGGATCCAATTTTAGTGTTGGACAGAGACAGCTGGTATGCCTTGCCCGAGCAATTCTCAAGAAAAATCGGATATTGATTATTGATGAAGCAACTGCAAATGTGGATCCAAGGTACAGACTGAAGATGGACACTACACTCACTCTGAATTTTAAATGTGGCAAACACTAATAATACTGACAAATGTTTCTAAGTGCTGTATTGGCCACCAAAGAAAAGTCTTGATCCCATTAATTCTGGAAAATGAAGGAAGAAACAAAAGCATGCTTTGTGGTGTCAACTATCTGATAGGTTGGGCAAAAACCTGAAATCTAAAAGCCTCTAAAATCCAAAAAAATTTTTTAAGCAAAAGAATGTCCTTTATTATTAAGGCCTTTTTCTTTTTTTTTTTTAATCCAAAGTTTTTATGTGCTAACATGACACTACAAATGGGAAATTCCTCTGCATGTGACTTGACGGCTATAGGTCATAGTGAGAACAGAGGCCCAGTGTGTCTTTTCAGTTCCTTCAGTTGACATATCCTTACTTTGCTGCAGGCACAGAATTATTTTAAATATTATAGGAATCACCTTCAGGCTATGCAAATATTGGGAAGTCCAAAATCCTCTGGTCTCAGGCGTTTCATAGAAGGGTGACTTAGTCTGTGTTGCATCCTGAGCAAATTAAATTCCTAAATTCCACTTCTGATAGTTTCAGGCAATATGAAAGGGAACTTTTTGTAAAAAAAAAAAAATGGTTAATTTTTTTCATTGTAAAGATAGTGTACAGAGGGGTTACAGTTACATGAGTATGGTAATGAGTGCATTTCCTATCAAGCATTGTTACCCGCTCCTTTGTTTTTCCCCTACCATCCCTTCCCTTCCCACCTCCCTGACTCCTCCCCCCACCAAAGTTGTAACATTCGTTTTCAACATAGTGTCTCACTGTTACAATGTGTCATCCTGTATCCTTATTGTAGCATTTTGTTATTTCCCTTCCCCTCCCCAAATTAGAAAAATGTGTATACAAGATATAGGGCAGGTTATACCATGGGGAAGAACATACAAAAGAAACCAAAAAAAATCGTAGTATATACCATGGGGAAAAACATATAAAAGAAACCAAAAAAATCATAGTACATTATAAGTACATCATAAACAGCAGCAACAAAGATAAAACCTCTTGTGTCCCTATCTTGGGGTTCATTTCACTTAGCATCATCTTATGTGGTCATATGTACATAGATTTTGACCTTTTCTGCTTGACCTAGACATATATTAGTTATTTCAAATAAGGGAAACCATGGGACCTATATTTCTTTGGGCCCAGCTTACTTCACTTAATATAATTTTGTCCAAATCTTTCCATTTTCTAATAAATGGGGTGGTATCATTCTTTCTGATGGAGGCTTAGAATCCCATTTTATATATATATATATATATATATATATATATTGCATACCACATTTTCTTGATCCATTCATCTACTGAGGGCATCTGGGTTGGGTCCATAGCTTAGCTATGGTAAATAATTCTGTGCTAAACATAGTTGTGCTGGTAGCTTTAGTATGGCCTTGTTTGTGATCATTTGGGTAAATGCCCAAAAGTGGTTGAACAAGTTTACACTCCTGCCATTAATACAGTAGGTATGGTTCTAAAGGGAACTTTTTAATGATAAACAATGAAATTCCTAAGTTGACTTTTTAATACTTTAAGAACAAGATTGTGTCTTTTTAAACATTTTTGAAGTAACATCTAATTTTTAAAGTCTTGAGTTCACTTTTCCCATATTCACTGATTAAAATTCCAGAACTGACGAGTTAATTCAGAAAAAAATCCGGGAGAAGTTTGCGCATTGTACTGTCCTGACAATTGCACACAGACTGAACACCATCATCGACAGTGACAAGATAATGGTGAGTGCTGTTCCTATGGTAATCCAATGGCTTCCAGGGAGGTCCACTGCGTGTGCGTCGTATGTACATGTGTGCATACGTGTGTGTGTATGAGTCCTAGACCATGAACTCAGGGCCTGGCTACTCTCCCTGAGCTTTTTTGCTCTACCATTTGAATCACAACTCCGCTTCCAGCTTTTTGGTGGTTAATTGGAATAAGAGTCTCAGGGACTTTCCTGTATGGGCTGGCTTTGAAACCTCAATCCTCAGGTCTTCAGTAGGATTACAGACAAGAGCCACAGGTGCCTGGCAGATGTCCACTTTTTAATATATCCTTCCTTACAAAAGCTGATAGAAAGCCTCAATAAGTTAATTTCCTGTTATTTTTTTCTCTTCTTCCCAATACTACCTCAAGCATTTAACTGCACATTCTGTGCTATCACGTAGTCTATCTAGTAATTTCTTTACTTACCTTTTTTAATATTAAGAGTTTATTTGCCTTGACATTTTTCTTTTAAGATGACCAATGTGGCTCAAATCTATCATTCTAACTTCTTGGGAGGCAGAAATTAGGAGGATTGCAGTTTGAGGCCAGTCCAGACATAAAGGTTCAAGAGACTCCATCTCATTCAGTGGCTGGGCCTGATGGTAGCCATGGGAGAAATACAATAGTTGCAGATCAAACTGCAGCAGTGATATTCTTCCTTGTTTTAAAAATGCCTGTTCCTTTTCCAGAAAATAAGGGATTTTTCTGCTCTGTTAGTCTAAAATCATTTGAGGACATGAAGACAAGTCAGTCAACCCCAAAGTTTAATGCTCCAGAGGGCAGTGGTCAGGTTCAGGAAATGGCTGGAGAGGTGACAGATGCTAACAAAAGACCTTACCAACAGCTTTGTCATCATAAAGTTGTCATGTAATTGCAAGCACTTAAGGTGTAATAATTACATTTTGTTGCACTGATGAATTCTTCTTCACAAAGAGGAATGGATATGGTTTTGTTTACTGTCAGTAATTCAGACAAAAGTCTTATTGGGAAACAACTGTGACCTAATTAATAGCTTTGTTTCTGTGTTGGCTCTCCAAAGGGATTTAACCAGTTTGGGTTCATTAAGCGCCACTAATGTGCTAGGCTTAGAATTCTGTTTTATAAAGATGTTCTCCCTATTTTAAATGTGTTAAGCACGATGTAGTTGTTAGAGGGCTAATTTAATCTCCCTCATTTGTTCAGTTGCCACAAAACAGTGGTGCCAGACTGAAGTATTAGAGAGTCTCTTTCTCCTGGCACTCGGCACTAACTCTAGATGAAAGGTGGTTTTTAGGATTAGCTGGGTACTTGTCATCTACTTCCTTCTTAGCCGGTCACACAGCTTATCCTTCCAGTTTCTGTTCAACCCCAGCCCTTGCAGCTCTGAGTTCCCCTAACAGCAGGAGCAAAAGATGCTGAAGAGAACTGCAGCCACAACTTCAGCCTGCATAGAAACATTGGCATCACCACTTGGTGAACTCTTTGGGAATGAATTGTGGAGAACCACAAGCAAAGCTCAGAAACTCAGGTCCAACTCTTCTGCTTCTGGGCCAAATTATGGTTTCCTAATCTGTACCTTGCTTTCTGAATTCAAAATCTCTTTGTTTCCCAGAGAAATCAAAGCTAGTAACTAGACTTCCATACTCAGCTGGAAAAGTACAACACAAAACTAATTCTACCTTCATGGAACTTTTAAGCCTACATGACCACAACCAGGACATTCCAGAAAGAAGGAACAGTGCTCCTTCAAAAATATGCTAAGCCAGGCACAAATATCTCACGTTTTCCTAGCTACTCAGGAGGCTGAGATCTGAGGTTCAAAGCCGGCCCAGACAGAAAGGTCCATAAGAATCTTCAACTAACCAACAAAAAGCCTGAAGTGGAGCTGTGGTTCAAGTGGTAGGGTGGTGCAAATGGTAGAGTGCTAGCCTTGAGACAAAAGCTCAGGGATAGTGCCCAGGTCCTGAGTTCAAGCCCCAGGACTGGCACCAAAAAAAAAAAAAAAAAAAAACCTAGAGATTGAAGGTAAGTGTTGAATGAAAAAATTAAAAAAAACATATAAAGGCAGAAGAAATAATGAAAGCAGGGATATGTGAGAGAGCAGTTTTGGAGCAGTAATATCCATGGTAGGTCATGATGGCCATGACCTCCTCTCTACCTTCCCCGATGAGAAGAACTATATATGGTTTGAAGACTAGGGAAGGATCTTGAGTGATACTTGCTACCTGCCACAGTGCCTAGACAAAGAGCAAAGGATGACAAGAAAATTCATTTGTCAGTGAGGAAGGCAATTTCCAGGACTGGCTAACTACCGTTCTACTGTAGGCATTGAGCCCAATCTACATACCCCAATCCTCCCCTGGCAGCTGGAAGCAAACCTCCATACCTCTGCTTCTCCCTTCTGCCCTCCCCTGTACTGCTTGGATGCTTTCCTGGGCTTTTCTTTTCCTGTAGTCAGCCTTTTTCCATACCATGTCCTGTCATTCATCACTCCCTGAGCACACCCCATTACCATGTCCACGTTCCGCCAAGTGAACTGGATTAAGTTATTTTGCAACAGGTCCATCTAATTTTTCTATCTAGGACAGCTACCTGGGCTACCTGCAGATATGAAGGCCTGATAGCCCCATCTTCACTTAGCTTATGTAACTGACTGACTCATCCCATGTAATGTATTTTTCCTTCGCCTTCTAGAAAACAGTGAGCAATTTGAGGTTGCCATTCCTGGAGAGATGCTGAGACAGAAGGGTGGCCGTCCCCTCAGTGTGTTTAGTTTAATGTGTGGTTTTTCTTAGAGTTTACTTGGGTACAGGAATGGGGCAGAGGAGGTACCCCAGAGACCAATTCAAGAGCCTTTCCTTATAGATGAAAGAAGTTACTTTTTCTCTTTCTTAAGATAAAAGTGGGACATTCACTGAGGCTCCGATGGCTCATGCCTGTAATCCTAGCTACTCAGGAGGCTGAGATCTGAGGATCATGGTTTGAAGCCAGCCTGGATAGGAAAGCCTGTGAGACTCTTATCTCCAATAAACCACCAGAAAACTGGAAGTGGTGCTGTGGCTTAAGTGGTAGAGCACTCGCCCTGAGCTGAAGAGCTAAGGGACAGTGCCCACACCCAGAGTTCAAGCCCCACAACTGACAGAAAAAAAGGGGGAAATTAATTCTGCTTTTCTATACAGAAAACAATATTCAGAGTTGTTTGTTCTGAAAAATCTCAGCAGTAAATACTAAGGTTAGGAGGGTAAAAGTTTATTTCTGGCATTTCTTTCCATGTTGAGTAACTGTCCCTTCTGTTCTTTCTTTTGTCCACTACTTAACATCAATGATTCTCCAGGCCTCTGCTTTTAAAACTAATTTACCTTTAGCCATGAACTTGAATTGTGTGGTCCCCCAAGTCCCTATCTTGATTATTTAAGCCCACTTCCCTTTGTAGACTCATTCCCTCATGCTCTCATCCTGTAGTCTACACCATTGGACAGTCATCCATTTAAGCCCTGAATTTCACTTCCTTTGTCCTTTTAGCCCATATGTTTTGGGTGCCTAGCACTTATGTACAATGTCAGGCCTTGGTGGTGCAACAGTGAATACAGCAGGCCTCACACCTGACTCTGAGGAGGTGACAGGTGCACCTCCAGGACTCAGGGTCCATGTTCTTTGTGTTTAGAATGATGACTAACTTCTCACTCCTATTTTTGTGTGTCCACATCTTTATTACTCCAGTCTAGTTTGATACCCTTTTCTTTCCATGGCTTTTCTTCAGAATCTCTGGCCAGCGGTGACCTCTCTTGCTGCTACAGTCATCTTCATAGTTTAATAAGTTGTTTTCCTTTTTCTAGTATGTACCAGACACCCAGTAAATAATCTGGATCCTGAATATAATAAAATTGCAGGGGGACAAAGGAGACATTTCTGTTTACAAGCATATTTCTTACATTATGCAAAGTGAATATGTTATCAACATGAGAGAGAATCTTAGAAAATTAAATGCTTTAAAGGTATCCTTTCACTCTTTTAGATCTGGCAATAAGTGTACTAACAGTGTATTTATTCTTCTTTTTTGGGGAGGAGGGGGGTCTGGTTGTGGGGCCTGAACTCTGGGCCTGGGCACTGTCCCTCAGCTCTTAAGCTTAAGGCTAGTGCTCTACCGCCACTTCCGGCTTTTTTGTTTTTGTTTATGTGATGCTGAGGAATCAAACCCCAGGGCTTCATGCATGCAAGGCAAATACTCTACCACTGAGCCACCTTCCCAGCCCCCTTTTTTTTTGTGTGTGTGGGGGAACAACCTTCTTGTTCCATTTCTTGGAGTTCATTTTGATATAAACATCATTTTATATGGTCATATGCACATAGCAATTGAGCTCTTGTGATCCTCTCCTAAGAATATCCTAGATATATTTTAGTTATTACAAGTGAGGGAACTCAAGCAGCTGTTTCTTTGGGTCTGGCCTACTCCACTTAATATAATTTTTTCTAAGTCTTTCCATTTCCTTATAAATGGGACAATGTCATTTTTTCTGATGGAAGCATAGAATTCTATTGTGTATACCACATTTTCTTTATCCATTCATCCACTGAGGGGCAACTGGATTGATTCTATATCTTAGCTATGGTAAATAATGTTGAAATGAATATGGTTGTGCTGGTGGCTTTAGTGTGGGCACTGCTGATTTTAAAACTTACTCATTTAGCTATTAATTTTTATTATCTTCAAACAATTACAAAGGGGCTTCAATTTAACATGTCTATTAGTATATCCAATGTGTGTGTGTGTAGGATACGATGCTTGAAATTGAACCCAAGACTGAAATACACCCCCAGCCCTGTATGTTTTAATGAATATTAAAATACTAGAAGCTGGGTGCCAGTGCCTCATACTTATAATTCCAGCTACTCAGGAGGCTGAGATCTGAGGATTATGGTTCAGAGCCAGCCTGGGCAGTTGAGTCCATGTGACTTACTTCATCATCAATTAACCAACAACAAAAAAAAAAAACAGGAATGAAGCTGTGGCTCAAGCGGTAGAGTGCTAGCCTTGAGTGTAAAAGCCTAGGGACAGTCCCCAGGCCCTGGATTTAAGCCCCAAGACTGGCACACACCCACATACCCACAACCCCCCCCAAAAAAATAATATAGTATGTGTTTTGGGGTGAGTATATGTATATGTGATGTTTGGGTTGAACCCAGAACTGAGATACACTATCAGCCCTATGTTTTAATGCATATTCAGATAATATCAGAGAAGTCCATTTTATTTTATTTTAAAGCATTGTCTTAAAAAGCTAAAATATGATTTCTAAGGGGCTGAAAATGTAAACATGTGCTTAGCATGTGAGAAACCCTAGGTTTGATACCTAGTATCCAAAAAAAACCTAGTTCTAATAAGTTATTATCAAATTTTATAACAAATGATAGCAGTTCTATCACATGAACATACCCAACTTTAAAACAGCCCTAACAAAATAAAGTGTGCAGTCATTAAATTGTTCATGTATACAGGCACCAAACATTATGACCAACATAATCTTTCTGTAGCTTCTGTTGTTAATTCTCTTGCTTTCTGGGAGTATTGTTTTTTGTTTTTCTGGCTCTACCTTCTTAGATTGTGGTCAGCTCTGAGCATAGTGGGTATCTTTTCAGACAGTGTGAGAAAAGGTGGGAGATTAACCATTGTCTCAAATTTGAGTACATTCCATAGGATATTGAAGAGGAGCAAAAGAGCAGAGTAGTAGTACTTTCATTCCATTACACATTATGTGTAGTCAGAGAGTTCAGCCTCCACAATCTCTGAAATGGTGATTATTTTTTTAAAGTTTGTTTATTGCTTTTGCAGAACAGAAAATTCATCATTTTGTAAAGCAATTTGATTCACTTATTTACTTAGTCTTTGGCATAGGGAGAAACCTGTATTTTAAATTTGCAGGGTTTTTTTATTTCTTGAACGTCAGGAGGAGTGGTTATGTCCTGTAATGCTATGCTTAAGTAAAATTACACATTCAGGGCATCTAAATTGGCATGCCAAATTATAGGACCTTTTAATTATTATGTGGATGTGACAGATTCAATTATTCTTGAACTCTTTTGAGAAAAGCTGCCCTTAGCAGTGATTCACAGTAGTAAACAAAAGATTAACAGGAGAATGCCCTTTATGAGACTTAATAAATGTTTCCGATTAAATACCACAGGCCAGAATTAACTGCAATATCTAGACATGAAAAAAGCAACAACCTGTGTCCTGCCTAGAGTTTTAGTGTATTCTCTTCAGATGAATTTATTATAAACACAGTCTAAATGAAGAACTAAGTGCCACTTAACATCAGAACTCTTTTCCTAGGTACATCATTTGAGCCAATTGTCTTGGACTCTTTCTTCTCTCTGAAACCATTTACTGAAGCCACTAATAAGTAGAAATGCAGAGTTAAAGAGTCCCTTCCTCCACCTTTCAATTTCCAGTGGACGTATTAATGAGCTATAAAACAGCCAAAAGGCAGGCAATGAGAGAGAAAGAGAGAGAGAGAGAAAGGAAGGAAGGCAAGGTAATTGTGACAGCATATACTCAACAGTGAGTCCCCCTCACTTTCTATGTATTGTGATCATTGGACTTTGGAGCTCAATTTCTTAATTGCTTTTTTAGTCTTATCCAAAGAGAAAATTGGATTTCCAGAGATTTCCCCTATGCAAAGCAATTAGGCTAAAGCTGCTTAGGTAGCAGCTCTTTTGGCCAGTCTTTCTTCCTCCTAAGTTCATAAATGACAAACAGAGGCAACTTTGGGGCATACCTTTGACGCCACTGCTGATGGATTTCGTTCCTCTAACCAAGCTACATAGTCTAGGAGCCTAAAGAAATTCTAGAAACATTTGCTTCTTTTCTAACTACTGTTCAGATCCTTTCAAACGATTCTTTTGCTGTCAGGTCATGACCATTTTGGTTTAATCTGATTATGCTAGATAAAATGAGTTTGATTTTCTTCAGGTAGGAAATTTCAGAGATTAGATATAAATTATAAACACATATAAAATATATACAGGGCCATATGAAGAGATACACACACGAATTGACCCAAGTATGATATTCGGAGGGGGGAGTCTAATGGAGTAACTTCTATCAACATCTGACTGACAGTCTAACAAAATAATTTCAGGAAATTGGAATGTGTGCTGGATGTGACTAAAGAGAGGGACTGAAGATGAATGGAGAGAGGAAGGGTGGGCTAATGCAGTCATGATATTCAATATGTGTATATGAAAATGAAATGAAATAACTTGAGGAGGAAAGATGGGAGAGAATGATGGAAAAGGTAATGCCAATCAAGATGTGTTATATTCCTAAACTGACATGGTAAATTGAAGCCTCTTTGCACGACTATGAAGTTAAAAATAAATAAACAAAACAACTTCTTGGTACGGTATGCCGTTCCAAGGAAAAAACAGGGGAATAACAACTACAACAATAAAAAATAAAAGGAGTTTCTCACCCTTTTAGAGGTATGTATAAAGCTTAGTCTGAGAGTTTTTAAAGCACCAACTAGTAATAACAACTCCTAAATACCACTGGCAGAATATAAAATGCCACGGGACCGCTGAGTACCCATAATCATAGTCTAGAACTTTCATTTTCTTCCTTTCCTATGACATTATAATAATAAAAGGTCAGGTTAGGCCTTTGTTTGCTTCGTAAAACAGGGTAATCAAACCATTTAAGCACCCTCTGGGCCTACCACCCAAATAGACTCTCTATATTCTCCCTTGCCTGCTCCTTTCCGAAATATTGTGTGAGTGATAATATGTTGCTCCCAAACATTGTGTTTCAATGAGCTTCTTTCTGCTGATTACCAGGTTTTGGATTCAGGAAGACTGAAAGAATATGATGAGCCATACATTTTGCTGCAAAATACAGACAGCTTCTTTTACAAGATGGTGCAGCAGCTGGGCAAAGGAGAAGCCGCGGCACTCACTGAAATAGCAAAACAGGTGAGCATGCCCAGGAGCTGTAATTAACGTTTGTCTCACCAGTTCCCTCCTCACAATTTGGCAGTGTGGGTCGGCTAACAAGTACTAGGTGCCCCTTTCAATTATAAGCCTCCAGAGACAAAGCTTCAACACGTTCACCGTTGAAGTCGGGTCTGTGAGGACTGGATGGGGGTGAGGGGGGAAGGGAGGAACACATGCACGTGCAAACAGTGTGCCTAAGACAGAGACTACACAGGACTTTCTGCCCCTTGAAGATTCTATGGCCCTGATTCTTAGTGAGCAAAACTGATATGCTGCAAACCCGTTGCATTTCATTCGTACTCGTGTTCAGAATATTTAAGATGCAAATGCTGTCAGAGTACATCCAAAAAATTGTTCGCTTATTCTAGAAAGATCTACAGAGGGACACATCCGTTACTTTTGGTCTGGGTTTTAGCAGTTGGTAAAGAAAACTTGACTGTCGCTGTCTTCCCCACATTCCCCAGCGATTCTTTGTTGTTTTGGATGAGATTCAAAGTTACTTTTTGTCATCCTCTAATTTCTAGGAGATAATACAGTTGAACTCTGTTATTCCAATGATGAGAAACCTAATGCCCTGAGAAATGAAATGGCCCCCTGTTCTTGCAGTTCAGAGCGGAGACAGAATGAGCAATCTTTTCTTCCACATCAGCATTTTTCATGGTAGTCTTTGCACAGATGAGCACCTGTGTCCTAGTCTCTTGAAGTTCTTTCGTCTAGCTCAACACTGTCGGTGGTGACTTGTTCTTTAGACTTTATTTTGCATAGTTGACATAGTTCTTGCATGCATGCTTTCCCTTGTGTGTGAGCACAGTTCTTTATCCTACTTGATTGATGAGGGGTCTCAGGAAGGCATATAGAGAGCTAGTGGCAGGGGGATAGATGGGTGAGGCTGATGGCCAACCCTGTTGAGTTAGGAAACCTTGGTCCTAGTTTTTTTTTTTTCTAATTTACAAAGAATATTTTTTTTATTTCATTTAACTTTCTTTTTTTATTGTAAAGATACTATACAGAGGGTTACAGTTACGTGAGTGAGGTAATGAGTACACTTCCTCTTGAACATTGTTACCCCCTCCATTGTTTTCCCCCTACCATCCCCTCCCTCCCTCCCTTCCCAGAAGTTCTTTTTTTTTTTTTGATTGTGATTAAGTGATTACATAATTTCTAAGTCACAAGTTCATTCTAACTTTCCTGGAGCAAATTGTCTATCACAGTCTGTAATATATAACAGTGTTCACATGTTATATACCATATTTGTGATCAGCAGCGTGGGGACCCCCACAACATTTTTTTTTAATTTTATTTTATTTGTGAACATACTGTACAGAGGGGTTACAATTGCATGGGCAGGATAATGCGTACATTTCTTACCAAGCATTGCAGCCTCCTCCTTTGTTTACCCTTCCCATCCCTTCCCAGCCTCCCCCCTCCCCCATCCCAATCCTTCTCCTTCCCCCCTCCCCCCCACCCCCTTCCCCCCCCCCCCGCACCAACGTTGTAAAGCTCTTTTTGGACATGACAACTTGTACTTCTCATTGTTGCATCAGATCCACCTGTATCCTTAAACAACTGGTTTTTCCCCATCTCCTCCACAAGTTATACTGACATCAAATATAGTGAAAGCAGGGGTTATACTGTGGGGGAGGGACATACCAAGCAACAAAGAGATAATCTTATAAATGCGTTAGAAACACATGCATGAAAGAAAAAACATTAAAATACATATCTAAGGGTTCATTTTCCTGACATCACATTATCTGACCTTTTCCGCTTGACTCATACATATACTAGATATTGCAAATAAGGGAAACCATGGGACCTATGTTTCTTTGGGCCTGGCTTACTTCACTTAATATAATTTTTTCCAAGTTTTTCCATTTCCTAACAAATGGGGCAATGTCATTCTTTCTGATGGAGGCATAGAATTCCATTGTGTATATATACCACATTTTCTTGATCCATTCATCTACTGAGGGGCATCTGGGTTGGTTCCATATCTTAGCTATGGTAAATAATGCTGCAATAAACATAGTTGTGGTGGTAGCTTTAGTGTGGTCTTGTTTGTAAGCATTTGGGTAAATGCCCAAAAGTGGGATTGCTGGGTCATAGGGGAGTTCTATGTGAAGTCTTTTGAGGAACCTCCATAATGCTTTCCAAAGTGGTTGGACAAGTTTACATTCCCACCAACAATGCTTGGTCCTAGTTTTGTATCATGTCCAAGTTGGGGCCAGTCCGCCCATCCTCACCATAGCTGAACTTCCCTGTAGACTTTGAGGCTTGCTGAACCATTGGTATAGGTCACCTGTGCAGAAAGACAGGGAAATACCGATCTTGATTCCCACCCAAGTTGGAAGTTCTTCTTTGACATTCTGTCTGCATGCACATGGCCCTGTTAGAAGAACAAACTGTCAAATTGTCAGCTTTCTTACATGTCCCAGATCAAATATCCACACATCATTCAGAACTGTAGCACTGTGCGGATTAGTCTTAAGTCAACAGGCTTTTCACTCTCGCAGATCAGAATTCACTTGTTTGAAAAGAAAAACCAACATCTAGGGAGAGGTACTTCCAAGTCACGTATTCTTGACCACGTAGTTGCTGTTCTGAAAAGGTCGGTCCAGGTGAGCTGAATCATTTTAGGCCAACCGTCATCCTTGGAGAAGTAGGGAAAGTAGTTTTTCAGCTTATAATATGCAAGTGTGTGTTCCTCTGCTGGGCTGACATTGGCCTACACAGAGATGTATTTTCTTGCAGTGCTGGAAGCTTGAAGTTCACAATCAAGGATTGGCTTCCTCTGCGGCCTCTTTCCTGGGCTTGTGGTCTCCATGTCTTTACATGGTCCTCTGTATAGTGAGTTCTCATCTGCTCTGTGTCAGCCATGTTGGACCAGGTCTACCCTATAGGCCTCATTTTAACTTAATCTTGTCTTCAAGGACTCTGTCACATTCTGAAGTACTGACAGCCAGGACCTGAGCCTGTGGCTTCAGGACAAGGGGGTCCCACACAACACAGGACAAATGTCTGTTGTCCTTCCCCGGTGACCAGATCTCATTGAGGTTTTTATACTTCCTTTGCTCCTGCTGTATAACAGAGGTGCCAATTTATCTGTTCTCAAAATCACTATATACAGCCCCTGAAGTTAGGAAGTCTTCACATCCTGGGTTCTAAGAGTCTGAGCCTAATTGAATAGGTAAAGAAGCACTTAGCTGGCAGTGGCTGTGAGTGTGAGTCACCTAGGCCTTGGTGCCTCAGGTATGCAAACATCCTGCAGGGGCTCATCCTGCAAGACGGTTGATATTGCAGAGCATCTTATGAAAGTAAGGGAATGCTGCCTAATTGATGACAAAAGTTTGAACTGGTTTCAGAAGGCTAGAGACCCAACTCTTACTTCCTGATAGTAACAAAAGAAGCATCTAGCACTCTTGTAAGTAGCTTCAGATGATCTAAATTAGAAACTATGCTGGGGCCTGCGCTGGTGACTCATGCCTGTCTTCCTAGCCACTCAGGAGGCTGAGATTTGAGGAGATTTTTACCTACAGTTAACCCCCAAAAGTCAAAAGTGGAAGTATGAATCAAGTGGTAGAGTGCTAGCCTTGGACAAAAAAAAAAAGCTCAAGGATAGTGCCCAATGCCCAGACCCTGAGTTCAGGCCCTAAGACCAGCATTAAAAACAAAACAAACAGGGGGCTGGGAAGGTGGCTCAGTGGTAGAGCGCTTGCCTTACATGCCTGAGGCCCTGGGTTCGATTCCTCAGCACCATATAAGCAAAAAGAAAAAGCCGGAAGTGGCGTTGTGGCTCAAGTGGTAAAGTGCTAGCCTTGAGCTGAAGAGCTGTGGGATAGTGCTCAGGCCCAGAGTTCAGGCCCCATGACCGGACCCCCAAAAACAAACAAACAAACAAAACTATTGTGATGTTGGGCACCAGTTGCTCACACTTATAATCCTAGCTACTCAGGAATTTAAGATCTGGTTTGAAGCCAGTCTGGGACAGGAAAGTCCATGGTTTGAAGCCAGTCTGGGACAGGAAAGTCCATGACATACTTACCTTTAGTCAACCATCCAAAAGCCTGAAGTGTAAGCATGACTCAAGTAGTAGAGTGCAAGCCATGAGTAAAACAGCCAAGCAAGAACAAATAAAAGGCTATTCTTAATAATCAGCTTAATAGATGATTCATACTAGTACTATAAATTTGTTAAGTATTTTTTTAACTTATAAGTAAAAAGCAAGTTAGTTGCTCTTCCACTCAGGTCTCCTGGCATACAGAACTTCCCTCTGGCTGGAGTCTTGTCCTCAGCTCCTGCAGTTAGCTGACATAGTATATGCATAAGCAAGAGTGTGCACATATAGAGCTTTTCTTATTTGTTAGCACAGATGAAATTGTTCCTTACTATTACTCTTTGGGCTGTAGATGTAGCGTAGCATTTGCCCTGCATACACAAAGCCCTGAGTTCAGTCTTACAGCACTATGAGATTTTTAAAAAGATTATATCTTTATATATTAATGCATAGTTATTTCATTATATTTAAGAGCTACCTAATACTTATACTTTCTCCACTCAACTTGCTGCGTTCCCCTCTATTTAAGTTAGCTCTTAAGTTTTTAACGCCCAAAGAATGAGCTCTTGGATTTATTTACTAAGTCCTTTGTTCTGTTTTACAACTATTTGGTTTCTGTTCTTTATTCAATCTTTCCTCTTTTATTTTATTTTTGGTTCTTTAGTTTTTGAATGCATTTGATTGTATTCCTTAGTAACATTAAAAAAAATAGGGCTCTGAATGTTCCTCTGAATGCTGCTTTAGCCATGTAAATTCCAATATGTAATTCCATCAAAGCTCATATTTTACATCCTGCAGTTTAGGCCTTGATTTCTTCTTTGGTCCAAAAATTATATAAGAAGGAGATTTTCAAAACTAACTGATAATAGGAGTTAGTTTGTTGTTATTGATATTATTTCCTATTTTCCTTTCCAGTTTTACTGTCATTGTTTAGTGATCAGACAATATATGATGTACCTTTTCTACCCCTTTAGAATTACTCCTTTTTTTTCTTGTGTCCTGGTATAAAGGTAATCTTTGTGAATATTCTTTGGGCATTAAAACGTCGCAATTGTATCTGGGTAAAATATATAGCTTACCAACTTTTCATTAGCTCTACTTTGTTACTTGTATTACGTAGGTCTTCGGAGCTATCCTTATGTATGTGGGCGCATTTGTACGACTTGTATGTCAGGAGATAAAGCAGTCTCTTGTAGCCCTATCCTTTTTGTTTTGGAGGTTTTTTTTAATGTTATTTTCAGCCCACAGATGCTCATGGCTTGGGCTTTTGCTATGAACTTGGTTCTGCCTGGCTCAAACAAAGCCCTCCTCCGCCCCTCCAAACTCCACTTTGCTTCTCTCATATATTTTTGATTATCTTAACATCCAAAGGTGCATCTTCTCTGTATGGAACAGGTATGGGGTTAAAGGTCATTAGTTGCTCTTTGGTGGTTAATTGGAGATAAGAGTCTCATAGACTTTCCTGCCTACGCTGATTTTGAACTGCGATCCCCAGATCTCAGCCTCCTGAATAATTAGATTCCAAGCATGAGCTGGTGGTGCCTGGCTTGGTCCCTTTTTGACACATGAAAAAACTAAGGCAGTTGAATCTAAAAATCTGAAAAATCACCAGTTATTAAGTGTTGTTACGCTCCCTCCAGTATGCCTGCAGCTGTGTCTTTCTGCCTGCTAAGTGACCATATTCACTCAAATAACAACATCCCAACTGTGATTCTGGGGTTCTGTAAAAATAAATCAAGCGATCCACACAAGGGGCTCCTAGATGTTTTGTTTTCACCTTTCAGCTGAGTAATGCTGCTACTTTGCATGTCCTTATGCAGCCTTCGTAAACACCCAACACTTAACTCAGTCTGTTTTCAACCTGTAGTTTGTAGCCATTAATTAGTTCCAGTGAGGTAAGTCAGCCTTATCTCTCTTTACAGATGGGGCAGCCAGTGTGGAGAGGGAGAGTAGTGTTTTCTAGGATCAGCACTAAGTCCAGGATTGAGAAGTGAGACTGGGCGCCTCCATCCTAGGCTTAACTTGAGACACAAGGACCTGGCTGGAGAACATCAACAATCTGACTCCTTTTATCATCTGCTCAGTAAAAAAGAGGCTGTGTCTCACCTGTGCTGTTATTTCGAGTGTATTACAGAACATGATAAGAGATGTGAAAAAAGAAAGGTCCAATGGAGGACTTTCTACATAGGAACTTGCTTTCAGCAAAGAATTGCAGACTTGAGAGTTAAGACCATTTGAATTAGGAATTGTTAATAATAATATTTTCCTTATAAATATTGCATTGAGATGGATGATGGGGAGGAAAAGCAAGCCAGTCTCTTTGGGAGAGGATTCTCAAGCAATAGAAAATGAGTTATATTTCCATTTGCCCTTTGGGCTGATTTTAGTTCTAACAAGTTACTAGCTCTTTGGGAATACATTAATATAGAAAGAACCATGCAAAATACGGCTACCTTTAAAAAAAAAAAAGTGTGAGAGGGGTAGGTGATAGGAAATAACACACACATTGAGATTTTTTATTATAATGTAAATGTTTCAGCTTTGAACCAGTTGAGAATTTCTTCTTTTTCTTCTCAAGTGATATTCTCATAATTTGAATTTTCTTTGTAGTGATATTTTTGGAGTAACAAGTATGGAAGCAACAAAAGAAAAAAAAAAAAACGATGTGTAATATGTAGGTAGATGCTAGATGCCTCGACTCCCTTCTCTTTTGAATGTGAAATCCAGTGATAACTTTGTTTACAACACCCACAAATATATTTGGAGCCAGATTTTTAAGAAGTACATCCAGAATTGCATGCCTGAGACACCAGTTCATGACACGTGTCAGCTGCAGAGACATGAAATATTTTCTGTTTTAAAGACTCAAAACTTTTTACATTCTTCTTTGGTAGAAAAAAAATCACATTCTGAAGTCCCTTTTTTCATCCAAACACATTTGGAGATAAGAGCTCACAAGTCTTGACATTATTTCATTTTGTTATGCGCATCTGTCAAGGAACCAAGATACGATACAGCTACTAAAAACCAACGATTGTGGAACAGAGAAACTTGACAGCATTTCATTTCCTTTATGTTCCGATTATACATTTATCAGGGAACCTGTATCTCTCCTAGTTCTGCTAGAAATTGGTAGAATTCAGGAACTCAAAGAACCGACCTATTATTTGGTATCATCTTACATTTTTAGAGAAGTTGCTTGGTTGGGTCATTGTTCGAGCTTTTGCTTCATTATTGTGGCCCACTATCCACAGATCACATTTCTATGGACCTTGTGACTGCTTTGCCGCACAAATTAAACACCAGGATATTTCATACATAGAGGCCAGCATTTCAATGGTTGTCAATCAAGGGAGTATAAAATATAGGGATTACAACCTGATATTAACAGCCGAATCTATTGTGCTCATTTTTATGTGTGAAAATGAGAAACCCTCGTGCCGACGCTAGCTTTCCGGGCCTCTTTGTCACTCTGTTTTTAATTTATCTCCAGGTTTTGAGTCAGTAAAAATGGCTTTGCTTATCAATTTAATGGAGTGATAAAAACCTATCTGTGAATCAGAGTGATCAGCACTAAAGTGGATCTACAGGTTGTTGGGCCTTCAGCCCAACCCAGCTAAGGGGTTTTGGGGGGATAATTCCTCTCTATGATATATCCATCCTGTTGTTTGTTTGTTTGTTTTTGTGCCAGTACTGAGACTTGAACTCAGGGCCTGGGTTGCTGTCTCTTAGTTTTTCCACTCAAGGTTGGCCCTGTACTACTTCACTCTTAGCTCTGATGGTGGCTTTTTGGTAATTAATTGGAGTTAAGATTCTAACAGCTTTCTGCCCAGGCTGGCTTCAAACACAGGATCCTCAGATCTCAGCCTCCTTGAGTAACCAGGATTATAGATGTGAGCCACCAGTATCTCATTTGGGTTTTAATTACATCTCCAGGTGGGGGGCAGTTTGCTTCACGTGAAGAAGCGAACATTGAAATACATTGTCTTAGAGGACTTGCATACCTTTCTAACATGCCCTTTTTATCTTTTTCTTTTTAAACAGGTGTATTTCAAAAGAAATTACCCAGATATCACTCACCCTGGCTCTGTGGTTCTGAACACCTCCAATGGACAGCCTTCCACCTTAACTATTTTTGAGACTGCACTGTGATTCTTCCGAAATGTTGTCTGTTTTGAAGTCATTTGGGCACCATTGGAACTACATCGAGCTTTTATTTTAACTCTAGCAGCAAATATTTACACATCCAAGATGGTTTGTTTGCAGTTTTCTCCAACTTCATCCATTGATGAAACAATAACAAATAACACAATGGCCTGTTATTTTTATCTAAATGTTATGCTTACTCTTTACAAGAAAAAAAAAATTCCAAATCAGTGCGGAAAGTCTCCACAAAAGGTGTCTGCCGTGTTTTGTGCCTTAACAGACTTGAAAACCAAAGCCCATTGACTTTGTAAGGAATAATAGCACAAAGTTGACATGAGTTGGCTCCTCTCATTGTCCAGAACAGAACATATTTGTTTTTCAAGGATCCTGTTTACTTGAAGACTGTGTGAAGTTGCCACTTTGTCTCACTGCTTTTTTCAACCAGGATCCATGATTTCCCCAAAGCCCTCTGGTGAAAACAGAAAACAGGAAAAAAAAAAAAAAAAGGAAAGAAATTCATTAGTTTAGGTGACATAGTAGGGAGAATTACCTACCCCCTAAAAAAAAAAGATATATGGTTAAAATATAGAAGGACAAAATTTCATTACATGGTCTCAGGTGATTCAGTAGAAATGGCCGCAAAGGTTCTTCTGACTTGGATGTGAACCTGTGTTGCAGTCACAGAAGTTACATGGTGTTATTTTCAAACAAACAAGAAAAAAAAAAAAAGGCCAAACCTCTAACTGCAACTCCTAAAATAGGTGGTATTATTTTTATTTGGATTTTTGGTTTACAGAAAGTAAACTTTCTGTTGACTCTAAGCCTTGGGGTTTAGCCTTTCTTGAAACCTTCCAACAATTGCTTGCATAAGCCCTCCCTCCTCAGTGAGAAAACCTGAAAACCATGGCAGACGTTGGTGGTAATTATGTAGTACGTCCCCCGGTTACATCCAGAGCTTCATTTTCATGATCCTGTCCAGATAAGTTTACTTCTGACCACTAATAGCAGTTTTCTTTAGGTCCATCGGATTAGTGAATCAACAAACCACAGTACTTCCTAGTCTGTATTTCACTTGAACTGCAGGTCGGTAGTGTTTCATTGATGGTGGTGGCAGTGGTATGTTGAGTTGACCTTACTAAAGGCTTTCCATGTAAAATAGATTCTTTTGACCTCTCAGAATAAGGTATAACCACCCACATTAAATCTATTAATATGTAAATGTATACATATGTAAATGCCTATACCTAGCAGGTTTTTAGACTCATTAAGAAAAACAGATGTTTTTGTAGAATGAAGCACAGAAAAAAAAAAAAAAGAAAGAAAATGCATACACCAAAAACCACCAAAAGGCACTGAGTGTCTTGGCTGTTGGACTTTTTGTATCCAGAAAAACCTGTGATTAATGTTTAGTCCAAATAAATCACGCACACAGAGTTGTTTATTCGTAGTTGGTATTTCAAGACACTGAAATGACAATGATGATGGTAAGGTGGGTTTAAATGTGACAGATGTCTTAAGTGTATATATGTTTATCTGGGCGTTACAAGTTGAAAGGTAGTCCTGTAAGTGTGTTTCTGTTCCATTTCTGTTTTAGTGTCATCATAGGATTTTTCTAATGAAACAAAATTCAGTTGAAATAAATGACAGTTTTCATCTCCATTCAGAGCTCTGTAGTTTTGTTCTTAGAGGGATTACTGATTTAGGGCCTTGCTCATGAAAGCCATTGAGTTTTTTTGGGATTAAAATAAACCAGTAATTAGTAAATAAATTTATTAATTACTAAACCCATTATTAACTAGATGTCTTAGCTGCTTAGGTGCACCAAATATTCCAGATAGATGAGTGAATTCCAGACAAACAGTCACTGATGAAGAGTCCAGTTGCTCTCCTTTCTAGAAAACAGCATATTAGCTTAGTTTATGCTCTGGACTTTGACAGTTATTAAATGGTTCTGAGCTTTGCTTTAATTTTTGTTTTTAAAGTGACTTGGTCTGACTTGAACAAGACACATTGTTACATCTAAAATGGTATAGGATCATGGTTCTTAAAGTGTGGCTCTAGGGTAAGCAACATGACCTGGGAACTTAATAAAAATACAAACTCTTGTGGGTGCCAGAAGCTCACCCCTGTAGTCCTAGCTATTCAGGAGGCTGAGATCTGAGGATTGTGGGTTCAAAGCCAGCCTGCGCAGAAAAGTTTGTGAGACTCTTATCTCCAATTAACCACCAAAAAGCTGGAAATGGGGCCGTGGCTCAAGTGGTAGATCACTAGTCTTAAGCAAAAAAGCTCAGGGACAGCACCTAGGCCTGAGTTCTAAGACCCAAAAAATGCAGATTCTTGTGCCTTGCCCAAATCTGCTGAAACACAGAGTTTGGTGGGAACCAATACTCTTCTTTAACAAGCTTTAGGCTGATTCTAATACCAGCTAAAGTCTGCCAACCAGTGTTGCAGAACACAAAGAACTCCCAAAGCTTGAGAAAACACAGAAAGCCCAACTACAGAATTGGACAAGAATCTTAGTTAGGAACTTCACAAAGTGGAACAAATAGCCAATAACTAGAAACATACTCACCCTTGTTGGTTACCGAGGAAATGTAGATGAATGCTATAAGCAACACATCCACTGGAATGGCTGTAATTCAGTAGATTGAAAATATCTGGTGCACAATGGAGCAACAGGACCATTCATGCACTGCTGTCTATGCAAACATTCATTGAAGAAACTTTTAGAAAAAGCAGTTTAACAACGCTTATGTAAGGTGCAAACCCAGCTATGAGTACACCTGTACATGAAGAGATGCATTTAAGGATGCTCCTAGAAATGCAGTTCCTACTAGCTCCAGTGGAAATAAATGAGGTAGCAGAATGCAGTGGTGGAAAAAAAAAATCAAACTGCAAGAGCAACACAGAAGAATTTCCCAAATAGAATTTTGTTCCAGAGATGTGTGTCCCAAATGAGTATCTATGATTCTATTTTCACAAAGGTCAGCAGCAATAGTTACAACTAATCATAATATACAAAGGCAAAACAGTACATAATTTTGAGAGATAAGAGGCAGTAGTAATTGGGAGAAATACAAGAGTGTCTTCAGGAATGCTTAAAATGTGTGTGTGTTTGTGTGTGTTTTATGTGTTACAGGGTTAAGTAGTAATTAGATCAATATTCGTTAGGCTTTTCATATGTTCTCTGAACATTTATATGTACTACTTCACAACTGAGTTGTTGCCTCAATCTTCTGGAAAAAAAATAATAAAAGACCTTAAATCTTTTTTTAAAGTGAGTTGTCTTTATGTAGAAAACTTCTGCTGAGTTTTTAAAAGTCCAAAGCTGTTCTAGAGTTGTCTTGGGGTCTATAGCAAATGAAGTATTAAACTTGATTTTCTCCAGTCACAGAATAAGTACAAAAGTAAGAAACGATAAGGCTTCTTATATTGTTATTGTTATAATAACGGCAATGTGCAGAGAGATTGTCATTTCTTAACTCAGGTAATGAGTACATTTCTTTATGGACAATGTCACCCCTTGTTTTGTTCTCTCCCAGTTTTTCCCTCCCGTCCCTGCCCACAAATTGTGTAGTTCACTTTCAACATAGTTTCTATTGTGTACCACTGCTGCATTTGTTCACCCTTTATCCCTCTATTTCTGTGATTATATTATTTCTGAAACAACTTTGTTGAGGGATGTACAAGAAGATAACACATTTAATATACATGGTGATGAGATTGGAGGGCAACATGGATATCCAACTATTTGGAAACTATTTAACTTGCTGTTAAGGTCAACTTTAGCTTCATATGACTGATTATTCAAGAGGAACCCAAATTCTGACTGAGATGCACTAACAACACTTACATTGGGAAGTTCTAACTGAATACACTGAGCAATCATAAAAGTATCCATCACAATTACCCATCACAATATAAGACCAGAGACATTGCAAAACAATGTCTGATCCAAAAGTTAATTATCTAGTTTTAGAAGGTATTACATGAAAAACTTTGTAAATTGAATTTTGCAGATCACTTAGACAAAAAATAAATTTAAATTAAGTCTTATTTAGGCTTGTTAAGATAAAAGGAACTGTAAACTGGGCACAGTGGCTCATGCCAGAATCCTAGCTACTCAGGAGGCTGATATTTGAGGATTGAGGTTCAAAGCCAGCTCACATGGGAAAGTCTGTAAGACTCTCATCTCCACTTAACCACCAAAAAGCTGGAAGTGGGGCTATGCTCAAGTGGTAAGAGCAAAAAGCTGAGGAACAGCACTTAGGACCCAAGCTCCAGGACCAGAACCAAAAAAATTTTTAGTAAATAAAATGGCCAGTAAAATAATCTTTGTAAAGATAATTGATGAATAAATATTCCTTAAGTGACAAAAGTTGCCATATTGTGAAAATAGTTACCTAAACGTTTTTCTAAAGCACATTTGTGTCTTTAAAACTCTGAACTTAAAATGTCCACAGCTTTTATTTCTGAGTAGTGTGATAAGTGCCAATTTTTTCCTAAATTGTTTGCAGTGAGCATGAGTTACAAGAAAGTACATAAAGAGTTTGTGGTGCCTATTTAATGTGGGTTTTTTTCCCCTGCCACTTCCAGAGCTTGAGGTCAAAGCCTTGAACTGGCTTAATTTCTTGTTCATGGCTGGCACTGTACCACTTGAACCATACTGCCAGCCCAGCTTTTTGCTAGTTAAGTTTCACCTGGCTTTTAATGCAGTGCTGTGCATTTTAAAACAATTATTAGCACTTTTAGAAGGGCATATAACTATTTCTAAAACTTCCTGGTTTTGTTTTGTTTTGTAAATGCTTAAATATCACTAGCAAAGAGCAGTGGTGAACACAACCTACTTAGTGTCACTGTAACTTCCAAGTGGCTGGATAACAGGCTACTCCACATCAGATCAAGTCTGTACTAAGAGGATTGCTCCCAAACTGCACGATGGGCCTAGATTTGTTGCCAATTGTCTTTTGGGGAGGCACCTAAAATCAGTTATCAAGCAAAGAGAAATGGTTAGGCAAATTTTCCTGAGAAACATGGTTTCCCGGATTATAGTGATACTTGAGCTCCTGATTTACATGTGCGGGGGTGAGAAATGCAGATGGCAATTAGGAACTTGAAACATTTAACTCATTTTTGTGGAATTAAGACTTTCAAGTCTTTCTCCAGTAGTCAGGCTGCAGGGATAATGATTGTATGGACATGCCAGCCCTACCTCCAGGCTGCCAGCCAGCACGAGAATGGGACAATTTTCTGTAGGGAGCTTTTAGTTATTTGGTTTTTAAGGATGTTTAGTTGTTTGTTTTGAGCTTTCTTGCTACAGTGAACATGTGATGTATAGTGTAGTACATCAATACTTGTGCACAGTGAATATGATCAAATGAAATAATTCAGATTTTATTTCTGGCTTTTGGTTTTCTCCCACTCCCTGCCTTTCATAGTTAAATCATACATTTAGAAACAGCCAGCGAGACTCAAGTTAGATGATCCCACTTTTGTGGGCAGCATCCAAAACACAGTAGTCAGGAATGGGTGAAGCATGAACATACACCTTCTGCTCTTGCCACCAGGCCTGACTAGAATGCTCACCGTAACCATTTCAGGGTCCTAGGTCTTTTTGGTCTATGCCTGGTTGGTCCCGTGC